TGTTTGTGAATTTCGGTAAATTAATTGCTATAAAATTGTCATTCTCCTTTCCTATCTGAACTCTTTCTTATTTTATCCTTCCCCCAAAAAATTTCATAAAATAAATAAATATATATAGTTTACATTCTAGAATGCCGGAACTAAAAATCACACAAATGCAGACTAATAAGATTAAAATCATATACTATATTGGTAGATATTTGAGCAAGGCCTGCACTGCAAAATCCAAATATTTTTCTCTTATAATTATTTTTATGCTCACATTTGAAGAGAGTGCATTATAAATAAAAATACAGAACATTTTCAGTTCAACAGATTTTGAATAGAACAGAACAATATTTCGGGTCTAAAAAACTTTTATCAAATAACATTAAAGCATCTATAACTCATGTTCTAAAAGAGGTAGGAAATTTAAACAGATTTGAAAAGATGAAAAACCAGGCTATAATACTCGGACAAAAAATTGAAAAAAAATCTTGTTTTAAGATATTCGGATACTTTAAATGAAACTGAGGCTATTTTAATGGAAGTGGATCGTTGTTATCATGGCAGCTTAAAAATTTGCATATTTATTATTTTTTTGGGATCATATTTAACCGATGCATTTGTCTTATTTTAGCCGAGATGATTTGTGTTACAACTCATCGTGTCTACATCCAGCTTAGGTTTATCAGATTCCAGAATACAGAAGGAAAGATCCTTCCTTCAACTTTCCTAATGTTACCTTCTTGTGTTTTTAAATATTCACAACCAACATCACTGACAAATTGTTCTTTTCTAAATTTAAAACAGCATATTACTTTCTGCATTATATCAAAATAACAAACACTGCATCAAACGAAAAAGTCCTTACTCGTAGAATATAATTTAACGAAATCTTCGTCTTAATGCAACGGCGTCGATACATTGCTAGAATTTGGTTGGCTTATCCATCTAAAAATACATGCTTTATTATATGGAAAAGAAACAGGCTAGTTATATAATTTTCTATATTATTCGTCCGCATCTGGTAGATTTTTTTTAACTTTTTCAAACAGTTGTGATATTTGAAAAGTTTTAAAAAGTCCAAAATGTTCTCAAAATTTTAAGTTATATGCTCCGAATTTTTATGGAACTTCACAGTTAACTTCTGTCAGAACTTCTGGTCTATGAGTTTTTTCCCCGCGTTAAAATTAATAACATTTTTTATTAGGAATAATTAGTAATTTATAACTATTTTAGTTAAAATCATGTGAGGTTCATGCTCGACAATACTTAATGTCGTAAAGTATACCTCAACTAAAGCCCGATTTGGAAAGCTGGATGCCTGGGCCAAATTCTCATATGTAGGCCTTTACTGATCTCATTCTTTTTATTATAGTACACATCACCGACATGAATTATATACTGAATTTCGTGAAATAATTTAATAATTTACTATCTTTTTCCACTTAGTGTTCTTTAAAGAAAAAATAACTTCATCTTTCTACACTGGTGAAATAAATTAATTTGCATATTTTATCGAATTGCATGAAAAAAAACTGAACTGAAGGAAAAACTACTGCTTCTAGGTAAAAATAAAAATCTTGTACGGCAAATACGTAAGCGTACACGTGTGTGTAGCAGCAGAAAAACAGGCTTTCTAAAAGCGTGTAGGGTAAGGAGAATTGCGTTCACAAGCACACCTCGGCGAATTTCTAGGTGTTATCTTGCAACATTCGGTTAAATTCACATCGGAACGGTAAAAATAAGTAACCAACAACGTTTAGATGATGGAATGAGGTGGCGAATTGTGGGGAGACTAGAGGTAGGCCAATCGCAAATCCAAACATGCAGAGAGTTTAATTTAACGCCCAGCATCGTGTGTAGCTTATGGAAACAGTTCCAGGACACTGGATTCATCAAGAAAAAGCCTGAGCAAGGTCGTCCAAGAGCCACGACGGCCAAAGAAGATCGCTATTTGTCCATTTTAGCAAGGCGTAACAGAGGGGCTTTAGCTTCTTAGCTCTCTTGGGACCTGTATGCAGCCACAGGAACCCGCAAGATGACTGTTTCCAAAAGACTGAATGAGAGAGGGTTGTTTGCCAGAAGACCGGCTGTTTGCGTCCCGATCACGTCTACGGACAGGAGTCCAATTAACATAGTGGTTGGAGTACGGAGCAATGGGCGACCGTTCTGTTCACCCACGAGCCCTGTTTTAGACTAAACACCGATTCTCGCCGTAGTTTCATATGGAGAGAGCCAGGGATCCGCTACCTACCCTCCAATGTCTGCGAAATCAACAATTGTGGCGGTGTAATGATCTGAGCAGGCATAATGTTGGATGGCCGCACACCTCTCCAAGTCTTTGACAGAGGCTCATTGACTAGACTCATTGACAGAGGCTCATTGACAGGCTCATTGAGGTATAGGAATGAGGTCTTGGTGCCCTATGTTCGCCTTTTCCGGGGTGCAGTGGGGTACGAGTTCATCTTACGCGAGGCCACATAGAGCTCTTCTGGTCAACGAATTTCTCGAGAGTGAGGATATTCGCCGGATGGATTGGCCAGCCAGGTCTCCAGACGGCAATCCTATGGAGCATGTCTGGGATGCTCTGGGGAGGACAATTGAAACTCGCAACCCCCCTCCTAGAACAATTCAAGAACTGAAAAGAGCGTTGCTGAGTAATTGGAACCAATTGCCACAGGCACTGATAAACTGCCTTATTTCCAATATGACATCACTCTGCGAAGCCTGTATGGCTGTAAGAGGGAACCGTACCACCTATTAACCAATTTCTTTTGTGTCTTCTGCAACCACTGTTTAATGTCGTAAAGTATACCTCAACTAAAGCCCGATTTGGAATTTAATGTCGTAAAGTATACCTCAACTAAAGCCCGATCAGACATTCAAAGATTTCCATGAGTTTTATACACGAACATGTGTGTCTATTATAACTTTCGAATGTTTATTTATTTATTTATTTATTTTTGTATTATATTAACCTATGTTCACACCAAATTTTATTAAAATCTGTCCGGTAGTTCTGGAGATCGTAAATCAAGTATGAAAATTCTCTTAATTTTTCTTAGTGTATATATATATTGTTTTAATGTTTCAGTGTAAAATATACTTCACAGCTTGATATGTGCTGTGTAAAATTGAAGCTTTTACATTTTAATTAAAGCCTCCCTTGGGGGGGAACTGCAATAAAGGGGGAAAAACCTAATAATAGTTTTACTGTTTTTATCAGAAATCTTAATTCATAATATTACAGTGATAAAAACCAGAATAATATAATTAAGTTATTTATCAGTTTAATAATTAAGTATACGACTACGACGATAAACCAAAGATCATCATATTCCCATGATAAGTTTCAGGGTGAAGGCCGTACGCATATTATATAATACAGGGGTTCCCAACCCTATGCCAGCGGGTACCATGGCACCCGACGATCGTTTAGTGTATGCCACTATACGATCACAATAAAAATGTTTTAATTTTCAATAAAATTATGTGTGAAGGTTTTTTCATTTTTAATGAAATAGAAATTGTGTTCAACACAGATACCAGCATAAAGCGAAATGCGACCAATCTCTCTTTTTTTTTATTAGCACGTATTATGAACTCTATTCAACTATAAATTAACCTTGAAAAAATAAATAGTGTCCGCCGTCTAGAACAAACTAGAACAGATGTTCTAGAATGTGCTCTTAGGGACAAAAAGGTTGGGGGTCTCCTGGTATAATACATTAATGGGAACACTAGACTATTTGAAGTTAACTCACTGCCAAGTAGATGGCGCCACCGAGTAATGCGAGATTACTGATTTCCGTAGAAATGACTATTAGGCTTGTAAAAATATTTCATCTTTTCTTTTCATTCTTTAAAAATGAAGAAACATGAAGAAATTATAACCTTTGTGGAAAACTATTTTATTCATCCTTAGACAATACAAACTTTCCAAAAACCGATCTCAGAAAATTCTGCATATGCAAATGTTTGAAAGAAAATGATTCTTTTTCTAGAACGTAATGCAAGACTGATTTTCTGAAATTAATTCCTAAAATTAAAAGTATGAAGGCCCCTGTAGAAAGAAGTCTGCTTGCCTCTAATTAGTTGTCGCTCATGAGAATAATTTAACTGGCACTTTATGTGCCTCGCCTATGTTTACACACGTATATACACATTAGTGCACGTGAATGTATATGTAGAGAGCGTGAGAAAAATCTTAAAAATAATTTCTTTTCCAAATAAATTTTTAAACAATATTAAAATATATTATTATTTATCTTACGTTTAATTCTAACAGTCTAAAATGTTTCTTGGCACGAAATAGAAAGAATCTAATGGTTAGTCAAATAACACTGCATTGAACAGCTATTTTAAGGACGAACTTTTTCAAAGTGAGTTCTATCTTTAAGAATTGTATTCGAATTTCTGAAGAATTTAAGGGGTGACTTTGATGAAAAAAAATTATCGAGTTTTGTGGAATAATAATAAGTACTTAAAAATATCAGTCTGATGCTGTATCCATTAATTAAAATAAGAGTAATTTTATTTTAATTAATGGATACAGCATCAAACTGATATTTTATATCTCTTCTGTCTGTATCTATTAAAAATAGTCTATCGTACCAGTTACGGTAAAGCTTGATGAGATGAATGAATGTACCATAAAAATAATTTCGTGCCGTTTTCTTTTGCTAACGTAGCACAATAAGAAAGAAAAGAATAAAACAAGCACTAATCGCGGAGACAACAAAAGTATTTCTGATTGCAAGAGATGAAGTATTTGTTTAATTTTTATAATCTATGCATATCTTCACAAGAAACTTTAAAAAGTAAGTTTTATTATCATATTTGTAAAGATATAACATAATCTCGGACTGTGACGAACTTTATTACTTGCCTTGCACAAAAAGGAATAATAAGAATTAAAAGAAAAAATAGTTTGTAATCTAAACTTTTCGACTCTTGAACTATAGAAACTTCTGATAAGAATTCTTATCTATATCCTCTACTGGTTTTTGGAGAACTTACTTCGCGCAGTTACCTGTATTGCTTAAGACACTCCAGAGAAAATTTTAATATTTTCAAGCAAACGCTTAAAATAATTCCAACGAAAAATTATTTCTCCAACACAGGAACTAGACATCTAAAGAAGTGATTAATATATTAATGCTATAATCGTAAACAACTACACCTACTTCGATGCAGGTCTTTTCGTTGAATAAAACTACTTCAAAATTCTTTCCGTATTATTGAATCAAGGAGCTGAAAGAAGATGGATAAACTTTTTGGTGATTTGAAAGCATTTTTTAAAGACGCCAAATGTGTGACAGACAGCTTTGTATTCCGTCTTCATTATCGATTCACTTTGGTAATCCTTATAGCATTTAGCATTGCTGTAACCGGTCAACAGTACATCGGAGAAGCTATTCATTGCATATCAAAAGATGACATACCAGAAGAATTGCTAAAAACGTATTGTTGGATCCATACTACCTTTAGTATAGACAGTGCTTGGTTTAAGGAAGTAGGTAAAGAAGTTCCTTATCCTGGAGTCGACAAGCACACACCCGGTGTAAAGAAAATTTACCATGCATACTATCAGTGGGTATGTTTTGTTCTTTTCTTACAAGGTTTGCTTTTTTACGTGCCTAGATATCTCTGGAAACATGTGGAAGGACACAAAATTCAAAGTTTGGTGATGGATTTTAATTCACCTATCGTAAGCGCAGCGGAAAACAAGGGAAAAACAAAACTACTCGTCAACTATCTTGAAGAAAATATTGGAAACCACAAATTTTACTCAACCATGTATATTTTAATGGAAATCTTAAACTTCGTCAATGTTGTTGGTCAGATTTACTTAATGGATACTTTCTTAGGGGGAGAATTTACTACATATGGTACTGAAGTCTTGGCATTTACAGAATGGGATTATTCTCTGAGATATGATCCAATGGTGAAAGTCTTTCCAAGGATGACAAAATGTACTTTCCATCGTTATGGTTCCTCTGGCGATGTTCAGAAACATGATGCTATGTGTTTGCTGCCTATCAACATTCTGAATGAGAAAATTTACATTTTTCTATGGTTTTGGTTCCTGCTACTGTCCATTCTGTCCGGCCTGTGTCTCATCTATAGAGCTGCTGTATTTCTAGTGCCAAAGTTTCGTTATTATGTTCTATTTTCAAAGTGTCGTAGGGTGGACCCTGATAATCTAAAAACTGTGTTGAACAATTGCGATAAAGATGACTGGTTAGTACTTAGTCTTCTTTGTAAAAATATGACTCCTTGTAACTTCAGAACTGTTATCCGTGACTTTGCTTTAAAACTGAGCGATACAAAGATGTTGTAGTGTTTATGCTAGCAATTTTAGTAACGTTTTTCATTTATGAAGAAATTTTTCACATATTTTCGAATTCATGTCTATTAGTGTTGTGATTTTTAGTTTTCATTTTAATATGGAAAACTAGCTTTTAGTAGAGACATTTTTCTTGCTCTTTAAAAATGTTTCAATCATCAGTAGATGACTTTTCGTATTTTAATGTTCAAAGTAGTACTGAAATTCTAAAAGTAGTACTACTACATAGTTTTAGGGTACTATTTTTTAAAGTCTTGCAGTTCAGATATTATAAAGAGAAAAACAAAACTAATTTTAAAAAAATCTATGGGGAACATTTTTAAGATGTAAAGAATAAATGATTTTTTTGTTTTCGTTGTTTTTCGCCATGTAGTTATAATAAAAAGAGAATAATCCATTTTTTACTAAAACTTGAGAAATAACCAAGAATTTTTTAAAAGTTGCAAAATATTATTTAAAAGATGTTTCATGATGATCATGATTCTGATTTTTTCCCCTTGAACTAACAAATCTTGAAAACAATTTACAGCTATTACTTTTACTCCTTTTGATTCTACCATCATTCCCATTAAATAATAATAAAAAAAATTTCCCTTAATAAAATGTAAGCAGAAAATACTTTTGTATCGTGATATTTTTTTAAATAATTTCTTATAAATATCAGTATTATTATTCATTAATTATTAGAATTATACATATCGATATTTCCATTTGTGTAAAGCTCAGAACTGTTTTAAATATCATTAGAATTTATATACTCTAAATTCTTTGATAAAACTGTTTTGTAATGCGTAACGTTAGTTATGATAAAATTTATTACAAACAAATGAAAATCTTCATATGACAATTATTTGCATAATTAAGATATATTATCATTTATCTATGTATACAGAAAGAACACGTAGTATTTATTCTTGTATAAGGCGGATAAATTACAGCTGGCATTCTTTTTATAAGGAAACTGATTATCATTTCATAGTAAGAACTTTAGATAATTTTGCTGCCTTAAATTTATTAGAAATCTAGGTGTAATATGTAGTATAAAGAGAATATATATAAAAATTTCTTCAGAAGTAACAAACTTATGAAAAGTAGGGACCACAATTATTTTAACAAAAATTGAAACATACCTGTTATTTATTATATCTATTATATTATGCTATATTCTAAGCTTTAAACATTATTTTTATGGTAATAAAAACTAGTTTTTACTCTTCAAGTAAAAGATAAATATTTTACTCTGGTTTACTTATTATACGTGCATATATTACCTACAGTATTCTTTATTTTCGTAAATGTAAACTTAATCTAAAATTATTTTTTCCCTCATATTTGAAGAACATATTTTGCATGTGAACGATTACATTATGCACTCTTATCTGTTTATTAAGTATTATAATCATGAAAGAGATAAAAATTATTTATTTCATTACTGCGTTGTATCATTCATTTTTTAAAGTATATGATGTCGAATATTCATACAATTGCAATTTTAAAATAATTTATTTTAAATTCTTAATGCATTAATAATAATGTTGCGTAATTTTTAATGCAACTAATAAGTATCACTTAAATGATTTTATATGATAATTTTTTCCTCATTAGTCTACTTTGATATCAGATTTAATTTTTATGCTTATTTTCAAAGACAGAAATCAGCAATACATTGTATCTAAAAATAAGTTAATGTAAAAGAAAGTCTGTTTTGTTCGCAAAGTTAAAAATTCATATCGATATAAAATACTGTAAACGTTTTTATAAAATCTTCACTAATACTTTTAGGAAAAAACACACTTTTCTATTCCTTATTATTTAAGTCACTAAATTTTATTCTTAGTTATACATAAAGTTTTAAGCAGTTTAGTTTCCAGTTACATATAAAGTTTTAAAAATTTTAATTTTAAAAAAGGAATCATGTTCCTTTTAAACGTAAAAACTAGTTTTAGACTTTAACACACCTCGTGCGTTAACAGGTCGAAAATTTGTGCAACAGAAAATCGCTTTTTTTTTTTTTTTTAGATTTTCATTTTATTACTCTATATATATTTAATTAAAGTGTACATCTTAAGAACGATTATGAAAGAACAAAGATGATATTCTGGAATAGAAAACGAAGCAGAAAGAATGAAAGAGAGTACTCTCGCTCGTTATTTAAATTATAAATTAGGAATCAAAACTAATAATTAAAATATATTTGCTTTAAAAAGCCACAACCATTATTAATAACTGAGGGAGTTGCAATAGTTATTAGTAGTTTGTTCTTGCCTTTGCCTGTAATCCTATAACTTAAAATAATTTAAGGTAAAATTAAATTAACTTAAAGTAAAATTAAATTAACTTAAAGTAAAATTAAATTAACTTAAAGTAAAATTAACTTAAAGTAGTAGTCAGAGTTATTTTAACTTGTTGGCGAGTTATTGCCCATAACGACTATTTTACAACGAACACATACACACACAAAATCAAATTAAAATTCAAAGAAATGTTCATTAAGCCATTCCGAGTGAGTTACAATTGAAAATATGCAGCAATTAAAATGCTGACTTGTTTTTACTTCTTTATTTTCTTAAGAATATTAAATAGATGTAGCTTTTTTGCCCTGTAATTAAATTTTCATTATTCACCATACAAAATTCTAATTAATTCAAATCTTAGCATTCGATTGGTCTACACTACAACTAATTATTTAAATCGTTTATTAAAAGCACAGCTGCTATCTAACTGTTGGTTTTTCACGTGTTCAGCACTGCGAGCAGTGAGGATGCGACAAATGCTCCAATATAGCACAGTTACGGTAGCTCCTGCTTTTAAATTTATGCCGTGGGCCTTTAAATTTCCATAACTGTCTAATCTGAGCAAAACAACTTAAGAAGGACATCATAAGGTTTTCACTAAAGCATATAATCTAACTATTAGTAAAAACTTTAACATTAATTGTCATAATCTATCTGCATTTTCTGTAATTTTTAAAGGACAGTTTTAACTCTTGTAAGTTTCATTTTAATTTTATAGCCCGCTATTTTATGCTAATTTTCTTTCCTGCCAAGCCTCCTTTATTTTCCTACCAGAAGGAAATTTATAATGCGCGGGAAATTCAAATTTGGTAGAAGGAAGTATTTAAAGGAAGGTTTTGGAGGATGAAATTAGAGCGTGTTCTACCTGCTTGGAGGCCACGTTGCTACCTTTGATTTCCTAGCGAGTTGAATTCTGCGGTGGTTTTGCCACTAGGCTTGTTTACGCAGACTTCGGTCAGAACCAGCTTGAGCTCTAGATAAACTGTGAAGTCGTTAAGTTATACTCAAATTTCATTAATTTTAAGTGCAGCCATTATCAATAAAAGGATCTTTTACACCTTTTCCCTCTCTCTGTGATACAATATAGCGATAATTCGTGTATCGTCTTTTAGAGTTTTGGATCTAGTTTATGTTACCAAAAAACACCAAACTCTATACTGTTTAATCTGTTCGGACAGATTTAACTGTCTTATCTATCTTTAAAGGACAGATTTAATATAATGGAAAAAGATTTCTTCGTTCTGTGAATTAAATTTTAATAGTTTTACAATAAATTGCTAAAGATCTATCAAGGAGCATGAGTTTGATGCACCGGAAATTATTCAATATTTAAGTTATTTTCTAGATATGCATTTTGCTTTTCTTTAAAACTGTCCTTAAATAAGACTATAACTTGCTGTAGGGAATTATTGGTCAGTTTAATAATTACAAACGAGCTTTCCTACTTTTTAAAATCTTATATTATTTTATGAATTTTAATCTTATTTTAGAAAATTGTATTAGAGTTTGAACGGTTAAAGACTGATGTACTATAGTAAATTTTATTTCATTTATTATAAATTTTTATGGATACATGATGTGTCTAAAAAGTTTATAACTCCAGGATGGATCCATAAGTGTCTAGGAAGGAGAGAATGAGTTGCAATTTCAATTAATATTCTATCACTTTGCGGAATTTAAATGGTTACAAATAGCTTTTGTCGTAAATTAATTTTTCGAGAAAGTCAACAAAGCAAATTGAAAAGTCAAGAAAAACTAAATAAAAAAATTATAACTATTTATTTGAATAAAGTTGTTTTATGGAATGAAATTTGATCTTATTAACATATTAAACACCAACATCCCAAGTAAATCTGCTTTTGCTGCGGAAACTCTATTTTTACAGAACAATTTTTTACCTTAATTCGTAAATCTTTTGTCGTAAGACTTTCTACAGAAGATTATTGTCTCGTGGTATGATAACACAGTATTCTCGAACGGAATTACCCCTTTTTATTTTTCCTGCTATAATATCCTTATATTGTCTTAAAAGTGTATATTTGATTGATAACGAAGGAGTTTATACCGTACATTTTCTCCTTGAGAGAATAACAGCAGAATTAAAGTGATAAGATGGTGATGTTAAAAAAATCACAACGAGAATAAGCAAAGATCCATAGGGTTGATAATTCAATTTTATCTGTAAAGAGGTAGCAGTAGCTCAACCATATGAAGGAAAAAGGCCTTTCGAGAAACTAAAAATGTTTCAGATATTTTTGCCATAATAGCTTGATTTTTTTTTCTGCTTGAGTTGATTACAATGTTCACGTAAAACCCCTTCAGGTATGGTGTGAGAAACTACACACAGAAATTTTTGCAATTTGATCAATTAATTAATTGCCATGGGTTTGGGCTAAGAAAGACCTCTTTTCAAGAGGCATAAGCACAATAGTTCATAGGTGAAGAGTCAGGGAACTTTGCAGGAATAAGTTGAAAAGTATACATGCAATACCAGTATCAGTCTTCATTTCTTCAGGGAATTCAGTGGTATTTTTCGAAGTATGACTTTTTGCTTTGTCTTGATGAAGTTTCCCTCTTTAAAAGTCATTGGGATAAAGAATGGAATTTCTTCTGTCAATAGAGGTAAATTTGCAAGTTACCTGTTTCATTTTAATCTAAGATTAAATAATTTATGTGAGTGTCCAAAAAAGTACCTCAAGATGTTTAAAATTTAATTTTTTTATGCTCTAGCTTTGATGGCCTAGATTATGCGAGACAATTTGAAAAAGTTCGGCGTGACTTAAAAAGTCCAGACAGCTGTTCTCTGTTTTTGTTCGTTTTGTTTATCTATGTAATATTTAATGCTTTAGTTAACTTATTCTTGTAAGCCCCGGGTTGTACATCTGTAGTACACGGGGAGACTGTACGTGTTCAAAATTAAAAAAAAAGGACTTAAAACTTTCTTTTGGTAATAGGAACGTTGATTTTAATATTTTCTTCCCCTCATCTTTCTTTTAATTTCCCACTATGTAAGAGAATCCTGCTATAGTCTAAACCCCTTACTGAAACTTTCTCTTCATTGGCAGAGCCAGGTTTGTGCAATTTTTTCTGTTCGTTTTCGACGAGTTACAATGTTA